GAAATGTTGCTGGTATACGCACAAGATTATTGAAGTCATCAGGAAACTGATTTCTTAAATCCTTAGCAACCTCAAAAGCATCTACAAATATGCTCTCGCCTCCTTCAACTTCTGGATCGAATCTAAGCATAGACAAACGGAATAATGTTCCGGCTTTAGCTGTACCGAATTCGACGTGGTGACTCAACACGGTGACAGAGGATGAAACAGGACTTGCGTCCCAATGATGTCAACCCCTTCATTACCCACCCAGCCCATGAAACTGAGTTGTTACACACCACTCGGGTCTACGCCCCATACTCTTTCAACGAACAGCAGTGTGGGTTCTTTTACGTCCCAAAAGAATTACAACGGTGAAAGAGCTGTCAGACGGATCTTACGGTTTGTCGTCCTTATCCGGGAGGACTAGAATCAGGTCTAACCATTTGTAGGTGTCACAGCAAAGGCAGCCCATTCTCCTCAGTTATTTTGAGACCCTGTGTGTTCGTAGGGCCGGGTTTGAACCCTCGACCTCCCGCTCGGCAGACCGGCACTTATCCAATTGAGCTAACCGGGCGGCGGTATTAAAGCACTTGTTACAGGACGCAGTGGAACGAGGTGTCTCGATTGCAATGCAGCCGTTAAAGTTTCTCAAAAATGATTTAGAATTTAGCTTTATACCTTAGGCAGTGAAGAAACTGAAGTCCAGGTGGAGACTCATAATACACCAGATCCGAGTGCAGAGCCAATTCAACATCAGAATACGCAATAGTGATTGGATTGGGAACAGTCAACACATTAAATGTCTAAAAAAAAATAGTACCACTTAACGCTGAGATCATCATCAGCCGCAAAAACCACTCATGGAATATCGCTATTCAATGCAGTTATTAGTACTAACCAATCCATAAATGGTTTCATGAAGAGGTCCCATTCTTCTAGCAACCTGGTAGATAAAAAAGAAAATTTTAAACAATGTTCCCTTGGACATTATCTTGCACCAAAATCTACGTACTACTTTGCCTGACACCTAACATTTGCACATTTTGCAGAATCTTTTCGTTTTGATTGGGTGACGTGTTTCATAATCACAGCTAAAAAAATTCAGCTCAAAACTAGACGAATGAAATGTGTCAGAATAGCAGCTTTTAGAGAATGTTGACTATCTAACTTCAGTTATTATAGTAACTATAGCTTCATTCACCTTACGAACAGTTTCCTCGTCATCAATTGGCACTTGTTTTACCAATGACATCCCATGATCACTTAGTTGGCAAAGCATTCTTAAATACAGCAGGAAACACATGATGGTTAAATATTAAACTAACATAACAAGATATGGGGGCCAAAAGAACGCTTTATACTTAAAATATTATCTGTCAACTAGTGTTGCAAACGTAAAACTGCCTGAACGAACGAGGTCTAGACAACGCTCCTTGCATATTTAAAGTAATTAGACTGCAGGATTTCCAGTCAATAATTAGTCAATTATTGAGAATCTCATAGATTATACATGGTTTACACATTTTAAAGAAGAAATGGTGATAGCTTTATTTCCAGAGCGCTTATATCCTGAGCTCAATGTTGATCTAAGGGCTGTCAGTGAATTTTATACGGTGCTTGTATTCAACCTGTAAATTAAACAATATATCCTTTAGGAATGGTGATTACTTAACAATTAGTGAAGGAGGCTGAGTATCTTATGACGAATTATGGAGATCGAGGAGGGTGTTATCCGTCGAGGCCGTAAGCCGAGGCGGATAACACCCTCCGAGATCTCCATGATTCTTCATATGATACGAAAGCCGAATTCAATAATTGTTTTATTATTCATTCAAAATAATTCCCAATTTAAAAACATAGCTAAAACAAGCTTACCTGCATCGATGTTAAGTTTATCTTCGATAGTTTACGTTTAGGTTTGTCCAGCTCCGCAAATATTCTCCAAATAGCAGATGTCGCCCTCCGAGTTGTCTTCTTGCTGTTTTTGCTATGTTTTTAGCCATTATTTCGCCTAGTTCCAGCTGTAGTTCTTACTCTTGAAACGAGGTGTCCGCCATTTTAGTTTTTCGACGAAAACAATACAATCTCGTCCCCAGGTCTTCTCGTTTAACGATGCATGTACAAGGCTACATTTTTGACGTCATTTCCTCGTTAAACACAAAATTCTTCCAAATTTGGTCATCAGTAACTGGTTATGGTGCATTATGCGTGTGCCTTAGCCAATAAGAATTGGGGAAATATTTTGAATGAATGATAAAATCATTTATTGGGTCCTTGATACACACAAAAGAGGGAACTTACTTCCAGAGACCTTCCTTAGTTTCCATCATTTCACTGTACTTCACCTCTGGAAGGTTGTGCTGTTAAATAGTGATTAAAACAGAAATGTGTTGGAGTCAACATCTTTCATTTTCAGTAGACATTTCGATTATATGATCACAGTTTCATGCCGATACATATTGACTTATCATGTATTATAACTAAATGTTGTATTAAAGAGGTTTTGATAATTACAACTTAACAAATGTATTATTGTGAAAGTGTAATTTGATAATTAGTGTATCTTTCACTCTTTTTATAAGTTTTATACATCTCTTCGTAGTAAATCAGTAATTTTTTCACCTGTTCTAAGCTTCTTTATCTGATTGTTGTCATGAGAGCTCAATACCTGTCCTAAGTGTGGCTGTGTCCTTCTCATTTCACATTGTATCTTCCTTGCTGGTTCAGAGTAACAATTTTCTCTTAGCCATTTTAAGTTAAGCACTCCCTGATGATCATTTTCAAAGTCCCAAGCCAAAAGGAGATTTTGCTTATTTTCTGAAAAAAAAAATAGAATAAATTAGTAAGCTATTTTAAGAGAATGAGTATTGTTCTGGTCCCAAGAATTGAACTTGTGACATCCCACTCTACAGGCCGGTGCTCTACCGAATGAGTTATTAACCTATCTGCGGTCAAAATATTCTATTTTCTACCTACGGATATCGACAATACTTTGTATAACAATAGGAAGAAAAATCACAATCAATTTACAGCTAAGATTATATTAAAAGGCCCAAGTTAATGGTTTGCCTATCACAACACATTAACAAAGAAAAGGCTGTTTGTGTGTCTTACTCCATAGTGATTCGTATATGTTAAGAACAGTAAGCATAATAAAGCTGAGGATTTTACTTTAACGGGTTATTCAGTAAACGTCTACAAAAGCCTTGCATAGTACAATGTACGGTACATAATAAAATCAACTTGTTTGAAACTTGTGAGACATATAACATCTGTAACAACATTTAAGCTTAATAACTCACGCCCACGTACCGGAAATTGAAAAACTTGATAGTTTTATTGGGTCAGGAAGAGATGAGACATTAATAGTCCTCTGACCACTACTTGATTGCTTGCACTTATCACATTGGCAACAAAGCCGCAGCCAACAACTGTGGAACCTTAAATAAGTTAATGAACAAAAGAATCAGAACGATTTTAAAAGAAATGTACATATTTAATTTTAAACATATAGTATATTAACCAAAAAAAGGGAAATGACTTGTGTAGTTTTCCGAATCTACAGTTAGTTGTTACAGCACGATTAACCTAGTAGCTATTTGAGAACGGAGGTGTTAAAAGTTGTAATCGTGTAAATGTATGTACAGCTGTACGTATAATAATTTTTTTTCTGTGAAATCGATATTCATCAATTGACTGTTTAGAATTGACCGTTGGCTGTTGGCAGTGGATCGTTTTAAGGCCTCCACTGGAAGTCACAGAATGATGGGAGGAGGTGCAAGCCCTCCCACAAACAAGCACACCCACACTGACAACGCCTTGTCCTTGTTCTATCATATTTAACTCGTTTTGGTCAGCAATCCAGATCACAAAATATTCCTAGTCATAGCCCTATAGAGGGAACTCTAGGTAGATTACCACCTTGTGTAAGCAACAGGGACCAATTTTCAGAGCGAACGTTTTATAATAATACACCTTTTTAGCTTGGAAGTTTTGTTTCCCACCTCAGTTAACATGGCGTTCTCAAGGGAATTTGCCTTTGTCGTTTCGTAAATTGTGCATACATCATATACACATGGATACACGTGTATGACCGTGTATAGGACAAAATTTGAAAGAAAAGTTCTTTGCGGTACCATCACGTGGTCTGAAATGGTAAAACAAATTGAGACATACAAGCTAAAAAGGTCTATTTCCATTTTTTGGTTTAAGCCTCTTGAAAGCGACGGTTTGAAACGTGGTGTCCATCGCATGAACTGCGCTACTCAACAGACTCAGAGTATACCAAAGACTTCCAGAGACATTACATGACAACACATAACGTAACTTAAAAATTGCATTCTCTTTTCCTAAAAAATAGATGTGTCGGAACCCATGAAAGACCCCTGGTCCCTATGATTTTTTCCTCGTACCTTCTCGCATTATCAGCACTTGGTCTCTAATGCGGGAAGTTCGAAATAATGGTACACTAAATTAGCCCATTTCTAAGGTATTCATACGTGGATGTGTGTCCGTCCTTCCAATCTATTTGTAAGCAGTTTCCAGATACCAGTGGCTTGACATCTGTCACACTGTAGGTTGACTGCAAACCACAACACAGATACTTCAAAAATTCCTGCTAAAACTGATCCAATGATCGTTTTGCTTTCTACAGAACTGTTTGCTTCATCATATTTTCTGCCACTTGTTTTAGTATTTCCAATACGGGCTTAACTTCAGGTACGCGATATCTTCCATGAACGTTTGCAGGGCACGTTTTATGGCCTTATTATAACAGTTTTTACTTGAGAAGTTCCCTTTTGCATATAACTTATATTAAGTGTAGTTTTAACTCGTGGACACGTATATCTAGACATGCGGTATTTCTAAGTAAGTCACTTAGAGTGAGCTATTAAATTAAAAAGAAAAAGGCTACAAACTGGCTAAAACAGACACAAACTAACCTGAGCTTTTCTTCGGAGGAAAGAACTGAAGGATTTAGTTACAGACGTTCTACTGTAAAGGACGCTTCTCAGCATGACGCCAACTCGAACTCCAACTGATCTTGTTTGAGTTTTAGAAGTTAAAATAACTCTTCAATCTGCAGAGAGGTGCCTCTAGAATTAAAAACATCTTTAACTCGGGTGTTACTAAACAGAGTAACGAAGTAACGAGTAACGGAGTAAAGAGAAAACGAGTAACTGGATAAAAAACCAAGAGGTTAAAAAAAATAATTAAATAAATCCTAATGAAAGAAAAAACGTAAAAATGGTTGTAATATCCTAATAATTATCTTTACTAATCTCAAAAAAATATGTGTATTCCAAAAAGTGATTAAAACAACGACGTCAACCCCCCACCCCTCCCTCCAGCAAAGTCGAAGGTATTTTCCCGCCGAAAAAGTCACCTACCCTATCCCTGAAAACAATAGGTAGTGCAGGTTACACGAACCAATGAAATAAGAGGTTTGGATGGGTGTAGGTCGAATGGTTATTTTCTCACACCCACGAGGAGACCAAGGAGCAACAACCATGCATGGAGGAAGGTGAAGTACAGATTTTCTTTCTGATTGTCACAATTATTTCATTTCTTAGAAGAAAAAGCTCTGTCTGTTTTGAGGTCGATTTTCAATTAAAGAAAAGTAAAGAAACATTCAAATGGATTGGTTTGCTCGAAGTTACGTTTAACATCAATCAATGCAGAACAACCGAAACATTGTTACTGCCAGGGCATTAAATTAACTCGTTTTCGTAGGATCCACTTGGCTACTTAACATTTCAAAGTGGTAGCCAATTCCATAAGTCGAATAAGTCCTGAGTCCCCAGAAAAAAAAATATAAACGAAACAAACAAGAAATAGAACAAACAAGGAGAAAACGGCCGGTTTAGTAGATGTTATTTTAGAGCTGAAATCCTCCAAATTGACAAGTTTTGAACCCACATGATTCCAGCAGGTAATCAAAGTAAGCAAAGGGGACCCATACATATCTACTTGGCATTCGCCAGCAACAGAGTTTCCTAGTGAAATATGTGCCATTTTGCATGATGGTCATACAGACATTGGTGCTTGTATTAGTTGCAATTTCACGGCCTGATAACATGCAATTACATGGACTCATTGTGACCCAAATTTTAATTTGTTAAGCCTGGGCTTAATGGATGGCAGGCAGCTACGCCCCTGTCACCGCTGAATTCTGTCAAGGCTTTCACCTTCAGGTCACGCTTCGGCAAACTTAAAAAATAATTATTGGTGTGTTATATGAAACGCCTGAGTTAAGATAACAACAACTAATAGTATTTTGAAATCGTAGAGGAGCCCTCGTTTCCACTTCTGTGTTCTCCCACTTACGATCCCCTCGGGAAAGGAATGATCGTGTCTTCTTCTAGACTTGCTTTGACGATCAATCTCTTATATTAGGACCAAACAGCTGAAGTGGCACTTGCAGACGATCTTTACAATCCTGAGACTACGAAGAGGGACCTGCATTTGGCATAAGAAGTACTTTCCTTAATCTTCTCACAAAATTTAATTAATCCATTAGTTATAACAATCGTTCACACTGAAACCTTGAAAACTTAGGGTAGTCCCGTGCCTTGTTCCGTGGGATGCCTGTGGCACTCCCACGGTAAAAATCCGGTTCGCTTGTACCCAAAACTGCAAAGCCAGCCAATAGGATTGCCTAAAATCTTTATCGATTATCTCTTCTTCCAAGCCGACCAATCAGATTGTACAAAATCTGTATCGATTTTTAATCGATTTGCTTCCTCTGAAGAAAGTCGAAATCAGAACGTTGCTTGCCAAATTTGTCGCCCTTGAGTTTTCCCACTCGTGGATTAGGATGGCTTGTTAACCAGCGAAATCCTTCGAGATACTGGCAAGTCAGGCGACCTAAGCCAAATTATTTCTTTCCTTCATGATTCTGTTTTGTTTAGGTCTAGCTTTTTCATAAGGTTTTAGTAGCGTCTGGTCGCGGGCCATGATTTCCGATAGATTTTTCTATTCGGAGTTCGCCAGCTTTTGCCGAGCACAGCTAGAGTTCAGTTTTTTTCTTTTTTTATCGAAAACACCTTGACGATGGGAGGTTAAATCGTGTAAATTTCAACTCGTACCCTTGACGATTGACGGTGAAATCGCGAAAATATTGTCCTCGTCGATCGACGACTCGCTTTTGGGATGGATTTGACTTCTGGATGGGACACGGATCAGGACCTTAGTAAACTTATTATAATCATTGGAACTATGTTAACTTTGAGACCTTGGAAACACATTGCAATTAATTTTTAACCGTACCAAGACCATCTTCAAATATTAAACTTTCATCTTGGATTAAAACATTGGAACTTTATTGAACTTTGTAACCCTGGGTTCGACCCTGGATAAAGCAAGCGGATGTTTGTTTTGTTTTGTTCCATTAACCTAAAACTACAATGTATATTTCTCTTTGAAAAAGTTACCTGTGGCAACTTACTACCAAGATATGACCTACCTTTATACATATAGTTCCTGTTCAGGTTAATCAGAGAGCATTATGCGCATGTTCTCCATTACTTGTTTCCGTTAACATTCCAGTTTAAGTTACACGGCTAAACCTTGTTTTGATGTAAAATAACTTCTTTTTCTTATCCAAATCGTGTTACGAAAATAACTGCATAGCGATAGATCAAAACAAGATCAACCCCATCCTTGCGATCACTGACAACTATAAATTTAGCTTGCGTAGCAGGTGTCGAAAGGGGTAGGGGATAGGAAGGAAGCAAAAAGGGGATGTGGATTGGGGAGAAATAGTAGCCTGCCACGCAAGCTACTATAAATTCAGTCATGAGCACATTAAGCCAACCCATACAGGTAACCTACTCATCGATGCTCATAACATGACACATCTTTCCCGTTTCCCTAATTTTTCCAAATTCAGATAGAACGCCATTATGCTTCTATAGACCAACGCATCCCACGGAAACGACTTTAGGCGTCTTGTCTAAAAAAGAATGCGTCGCAAAAACTTTCTTTTCTTCCTGATCTCAATAAGCACAACGTATACCGCGGGATCAAACTAAAAACCATACGGAAATCAATGTTATTAATGCAGATGGCGATGTTGGTACTAATGCTACTATCTGGGTACTACTCATTTCAGTTGTACATATTCAATGATTTGTGACAATTGTTCAGAGAACTCGGCACTTTTATAATAGTCTTCCTGATCCCGGGCTGTAGGAAATCACCTTTTCGGGTGAACGATAAACGGAACGTTTTGTTACTCTATCTGCTGGATAGGCATATTCAATTGCAAATAACAGCCGTAGCCAGGTGACTTTTTCGGCGCGAAAATACCTTCGACTTTGCTGGAGAGAGGAGTAGGGGGGTTGACGTCGTTGTTTTAAGCACTTTTTGGAATACACATATTTTTCGAGATTGGCAAAGGTCATTATTAGGATATTACAGCCATTTTTTATGTTTTTCTTTCATTAGGATTTATTTTTTTATTTGTTTAACCTCTTGAATTTTTATCCCGGTTACTCGTTTTCTCGTTACTCCGTTACTCGTTACTGCGTTACTCTATTTAGTAACACCCCTTTAACTCAGAACCGTAACACAAACATTGGAAAATCGAGTGCCACAATTGGACATCACGACAACTTTTTTGTTGTTCTTTTTCTCTGTTGTTAGATCTCCTTTCTTCACCTCATTATAATATAGTATAATTCGTGTCGAAAATTGTTGTCAAGGAATTTTTTTGCTCAAGACAAAACTCTTTGCTTATGACAAATCTTCAGAAAAAAACTTTTTGTTCTTGTTAAGGTCTGGGTTATACTCTATGGGTGGTCTAGTGAGCTCACGCGTGACCCTTGCCAAAGATACTTTCTAAAATGCAAGTTTTCGACCGCCAGATCGGCGGTCTTCAACTGGCTATATGACTTAAAAATGAAAAATTCCAAGATGTGGTGTGATAAAGATACAAAAGAATAAAATTACCCTAGAATAAAAATTAAGGAAAAGTACGTTAACAAGGTAAGAGTTATTGTCCGCGTTAGGTGTGACCATAGTGTGCCATAAAGATTCCAGTGAACGTTGCACCGTATAATTTTCTTTTCCAATGATGGCTAATGATCGAAGGTTCTTAAAATCAACAAATGTATCAATCAAGGTTTTGAGACCACGCATGATTGGAGATATGGTAGTCGAAAATTCCCACCTTGAGTCCAACATGAGATCTCGACAATTTTTTCGAAACGGATTTCAAAATATAAAAATTAACGTTAAAAAAGGGATAACGACATTTCGACAGTTTGACGGTCATTTTCAAGTTGCGCCGAGTAAAAAACATGCTAATTTTTTTACTTCTCATCTTGAAAATGACCGTCGAACGGTCGAAACGTCCTTGTCCTGATCTTTTTTAACGTTAATTTTTATATAAGCCGAGATCTCGAGTAAAAACGAGATACCCCATTCCAAGGCGAGATGAAATAAGAGGTTGGATGGGTGTAGGTCGAATGGTTATTTTCTCACACCCACGAGGAGACCAAGGAGCAACAACCATGCATGGAGGAAGGTGAACTACAGATTTTCCTTCTGATTGTCACAATTATTTCATTTCTTAGAAGAAAAAGCTCTGTCATGTAAATCAATATAGTAGAACGTTGTTGGGCCCTTATTACGGTTACCAAGTAACCAATTAAAAGTACTCGATTGCCAAGGCTTAGAAACAGTATGCTCGTCTATTACTCCCGGGGTTATTACCTTTCCTGATCAACTTTCAATGTCTAGCTAATGTCTAGTCTTTTAACTCCTCTTGAGAATACGGGATTCGACTTAATACTACCTTCCAAAAGTTAATTATAGTGAATTTTTCTACCGGTTTAAAAGGAATTATAAATCATGTTTAAAAATATCCCCCCGATGTAAAGACTCTGAAATTTGAATATTGACGGCAAAATAGAGTGCAGAGCGAGACTAGTTTTGAGGTCGATTTTCATTAAAGTAAAGTAAAGAAACATTCAAATGGATTGGTTTGCTCGAAGTTACGTTTAACATCAATCAA